GAACAAGGAGAAGACTGATCAGAGATGCAGCCAAGAGGCCCATGATCACTCTGGATGAACTGCAGAGATCTACAGCTGAGGTGGGAGAGTCTGTCCATAGGACAACAATCAGTCGTACACTGCACAAATCTGGCCTTTATGGAAGAGTGGCAAGAAGAAAGCCATTTCTCAAAGATATCCATAAAAAGTGTTGTTTAAAGTTTGCCACAAGAACCTGGGAGACACACCAAACATGTGGAAGAAGGTGCTCTGGTCACATGAAACCAAAATCCAACTGTTTGGCCACAATGCAAAACTATATGTTTGGTGTAAAAGCAACACAGCTCATCACCCTGAACACACCATCCCCACTGTCAAACATGGTGGTGGCAGCATCATGGCTTGGGCCTGCTTTTCATCAGCAGGGACAGGGAAGATGGTCAGAATTGATGGGAAGATGGATGGGGCCAAATACAGGACCATTCTGGAAGAAAACCTGTTTGAGTCTGCAAGAGACCTGAGACTGGGACGGAGATTTATCTTCCAACAAGACAATGATCCAAAACATAAAGCCACATCTACAATGGAATGGTTCACAAATAAACGTATCCAGGTGTTGGAATGGCCAAGTCAAAGTCTAGACCTGAATCCAATCGAGAATCTGTGGAAAGAGCTGAAGACTGCTGTTCACAAACGCTCTCCATCCAACCTCACTGTGCTCGAGCTGTTTTGCAAGAAAGAATGGGCAAGAATTTCAGTCTCTCATGTGAAAAACTGATAAAGACAAACCCCAAGAGACTGTAGCTGGAACTGCAGCAAAAGGCGGCGCTACAAAGTATTAACACAAGGGGGCCGAATAATATTGCACGCCCCACTTTTCAGTTTTTTATTTGTTAAAAAAGTTTGACACATCCAATACATTTCATTCCACTTCACGATTGTGTCCCACTTGTTGTTGATTCTTCACAAAAAATAAAAATTTTATATCTTTATGTTTGAAGCCGGGCAGCACGGTGGCGCAACTGGTAGAGCTGCTGCCTCTCAGCAAGCAGGTCCTTAGTTCAAACCCCGGTCCAGGGGCCTTTCTGGGTGGAGTTTGCATGTTCTCTCCGTGCATGCGTGGGTTTTCTCCGGGTACTCCCGTTTCCTTCCACAGACCAAAAACATGCATGTTAGGCTGATTGGTAACTCTAAATTGTCCCTAGGTGTGAGTGAGAGAGTTAATGGTTGTTTGTCTCGTTTGTCTCTATGTGTCCCTGTGATGGACTTGCGACCCGTCCAGGGTGTACCCCGCCCCTCACACAGTGATTGCTGGACATGGGCACCGGCGACCCCCGTGACCCAAAATGGAATAAACTGGTTAAGATAATGGATGGATGGATGGATGGATGGAGGATGTTTGAAGCCTGAAATGTGGCAAAAGGTTGAAAAGTTCAAGGGGGATGAATACTTTTGCAAGGCACTGTAGCTCAGAGTCAATGAACCGTTAGAGATGATTGTACAAAGAAGGATGCTTCATAAAATGAAGAACATTAGACAACACTCAGCATCCTCTTCATCAGACTGTCATACCTCAACAAAGTGTCGTCAGACTGAGGCTTCTTCAGATCCGTTGTAGGACAGACTGCTACAAGAGACCCTTCCTGCCCACAGCCATCAGCATCTAGAACAACTCTTTAATGAAACCAGGATGATGAGTTACAATATTTAATTTCCCTATGGGATTAATAAAATTTTTTTGAATTGAATTGAATTGAATGACAACACATAACTCCTCGTGCTTCTCATTGTGCTTTGAGGTTTTTGCTTTGCTTCAGCATTAACTTTGGCATCAATCATTTTTGTCTGTCTGTTGGCAAAATATCTTATTAACTACTGAATGAATTTAAGGGAAATGTTCAAAAATGACTTACTGGATTTAAATCTCAAAGTGATTAACGTTTGGAGTCAATTCAATTCAAGATGGCTACCACAGCTAGTTTACGTTTTCCAACCCTAAAGTGGCTACAACTCACTAAATGTTACCAAAAAATTGCTAAAATGTGATATGGTTGTAGCTGAGAGTCAAAAAAATACTTTGGATATGACATCTCGCAGTAATGAGATCACACCAAACTTTTTTTTTCAAGGTTTGACCAAAATGACTTTACCACTAACATTTCTAACACGATGATCTTCAACTTCAACTCTAGCATGAGACAAACGAGGCTTTTAGTTACCCTGTGAACTGGCTGGAAATTAATAAATTGGTGCAGCAATAAATGTAAAACATGACACAACCTTGTCATCTACTAAAATAAACATTCTTTTAACAACTATAAAACAAACAAAAAAAAAGACATAATTTTAGAAGAACAATCGTCATAATGTTCCTCATAACCCCTTTAAATAACATTTGTCTCCTTCTAACATAATAAAACTTGAAATGATATTTGTTGTATTTCTGTGCACTTTATATTAGAATCATAAAACCACTATAGCTAATCTTTCCGTCACCTCTTTGAACATTTCATCATCACTGTTGCATAATGCAGATCAGTGTGATGTTATAACTCTTCAAACTGGGATCCTCTGAGTTATTGGACTTTAATGCAGGTCGATGTCACTGGTATGAAGAAAGCGAGTGATTCAGCCGGGAGTCAGCAGCGGCACAGCGTGTACCAACACAGTCTGGGAAAAAACAAGGAGCAGCGTTAAGTGAGAGGCACACATGAGCTATTGTTCCATTGTTTGATAAGGAATAACAAGAATACAAAGAATTTCCAGCCCCTGTCTCCACATAGGAAGGGAGGCTGTGCTCCTCTTCAAAATGACTTTCCCAACGAAGGCTTCAACTTATGAGGCTCAAAATCTTTCTTTTCTCTAATGTGACCCTTGACCTCTCCGCTGAGTTATGACTGAGCGGGTCATCCTAAATGTTGTTTTGATTTACTTTAACTGGGAGAAAATGGAAGAGGGCCACCTGCATCATGAAGGACCCTGCTCACCCAGCACACACACTTTTTGTCCCGCTCCCCTCAGGAAGGAGGTTGAGGAGCATTATGTGTAGAACCACTAGACTGAGGAACAGCTTCTACCCTGAGGCTGTTACACTCATGAATCTCTAACCAGAATAATCACTGTGAAAACAAATCAAATCATGCTGCTGATTTATTTCATGCTGCTGATTTATTTCATGCTGCTGTGTTCATTCATACCCATCTGCTCGCACAGACTCATGTTCGTGCTGCTGTTCGGCGTATTGATTTTATACTATTAGTGCTTAGCGTATGTTTAGTTAATGTTTTTCTTAGTTCATATCTTAGATCTTATTACAGTTTTTCTTTTACATTTTAATACTTTTGTTGGATGTAACTGAGACTCTGTGTACACAATTTTGTTCCACCACATGTACCACATGCGATGTGAATGACAAATAAAGAACCTTTGACTTTGATGATGATCTGGTGACAATCAGATGGATAAAAATGAGGCTAAAGCTTCACTCTGAAGATCTGCAACTTGCTCGTTGGAAGTCTAACAGACCAGATTGAGCCCGATTATGTTCAGCAGTTATATCCAGTGGTGTAGTCTACATTCTTGTAGTGGGTATACTGTGCTTAGAAACCAAAGTACACTGGTTTGTACAATGTAATCTTCAATTAATTTTGATTTTTAAGCATATTGAACATTTCCAAATTTCGCTGAAGATTATATTTAAATAAATGTACAACAAACTTTGTACAACAGTTGGCTTTGTATTAAAACATTTTATAGAGTTTATAAAACAGTATCAAACCAAAACACGTTCAAGTATTAAGTAAGTACAGAATTACAGTTTACAATAATTTGCTGGATAATGTAATAAGTCAGAGTCAGAGTCAGAGTTTCTTTATTGTCATTCGCACCTCATG